AAGTAAATGAGTAAAATCTTTAAAAAAATAAATAAAAAGAATGAAGTGCTGTTACAACATGGACGGGCCTTGAAAACATTGTGCTGAGTGAAAGAAGCCAGAGACAAAAGGCCACATAGAATATGATTCTATGCATATGAAATGCCCACGATAGGCAATCCATAGAGACAGAAAGTAGATTCCTGCTTTCCAGGGCCTGGAGGAGGGGAGGGAATGGGGAGAGTGACTGCTAGTAGGTGCAGGGTTTCTTTTCAGGGTGAGGAAAATGTTCTTAAATTGGATTGCACTTGCACAATTCTGTGACTATACTAAAAATCACTGAATGGTATACATTTAAAGGATGAATTTTATGGTGTGTTGTATCTCGATCAAGCTGGCATTAAAGAAAAGATTACGGAGAGAAGGAGAAAGCCATGATAAGGGGCTTCAATTCGATTCTGGAGGCCATGAGAGACAGTGGAGGATTTTAAGCAGGACTAACTGGAAGAGCTACAGAATAAAGAGGATTTGGAGTCAGAAAGACAATGGGAGGTGAGGGGATTATGATAAGCTGGGTGAGAAATGATGAGGCTCTGAGCTAAGGAAATGACCTAACCGTCAAGACTGAGATGAACTCTGGACTTGCCACTGATGGGGAGGTAAGCACGGGGCTGGCACAGTGAGAGGACCATTGGGAAGGTGACATTTAGGTGGCAGGTGTAAGCTTCCCAGCAGGTAGCACCTGTCTTCAAACAAACACGAGGACGAGAAACAGGAACAGAATCTTGCGCTGGCCAGAGTGTGTGTGCCAGGTGAGCGTGGGGGCAGAAGGAGGTGACGTGAGAAGCAGGTGCATTGCAGCGACATGAGAAGGAAGGGCCCTTCAGCACCCTTCCTCAGCCTGGCAGAGACAGCGAGATGGCACCTGAAAACGTGAAGATCAAGCAGCAGCAGGAGGAGGGGAAGGCGGGAGTAGGAGAGGCCAGAGGCTGCCACCTGCCATGACCTCTTTGCAAGGACATAATGTCAAGTTCTGGCAGAGGGAATGCCTGGCGGGCAGTGCAGGGGAGTGGGAAGGATCCTTAGCTAGGGCTGGCCTGGCGGCCTAGGGCAAGCCACATTCACCTGTTGGAGTTCAAGAGCAATGAGACCCATTTCTCCCTGCGGTTTACAAAATGCCCTCACATTTATCTCATGAACTTGGAGATGGGTATAATCAACATCCTCATCGCTTGAAAAAAAGTGCCAAAAGGCCAAAGATTATATTCTTTTTCCCATTCGGTATATCCCAGATTCCTAAAACAGTGACTGGCACGCAGCCCAGATAGTAAACAGTATTTGTTGGATGAACATTGAATGGATCTCATTGCCCACCCCCCACCCCCCATTTTACAAAGAAACGGGCTCTGCAGAGTGATGTGAAATGCCTAGAGTCACCTGGCCGGGAAGTTACAGAGCCACAGCAGGGACCCAGGTTCGCTCCCTCATTCAATCCGTGCTATTTCCACCAAACCATTACTGTCCACCTTCTCCAAGAAGATGACCTCCCAGGCACTCTTAAGTTTGGGGCTAGTGACGAAGAGGCCTTAGAAAGATGGAGAAGCATACTTCCAGCCATTGGAGTCTCAGAGCCAGGGCTCAACTCCAGCCTTCCCAGGGCATCCACATTCAGCTGTCTGACTCACACCCAGCGCCGCAGGCAGCAAGAGCGGCAGAAGCCCTGCAGGATAATCCACGGGACAGAGGTGTGGACCTGAGGCGCTTCCCTCTCCTCCCTGCACCTGAGCATTTCCTGGGCGCTGCCCATATGAGCCTCAGGTGGGCCTCGGGGAAGGAGACCCTGTGGGGAGCAGGGAGCCAGGCAGGAGGGACTCACGCCTGATTGCAGGGGGCCTGGTTGAAGCGGCAGGCGAAGATGAAGTTGTCCAGCATGTCCTCCCCCGGGGACGGAGAAGTGTCCCCCAGGCACGAGACAATGTTGATGTAGTGGAAGCGGTACCACTCCCTCACTGCATCCACCCCTGACGAGTAAGTCTGGTAAAAGCAGTCCGATTTGTTCTGGTTGCACTAGACACAGAGACCACAGGGTGTCAGAGGGCCAGCAGCAGGGTCCAGGCTGCAGGGCAGGCTGAGGTCAAAGGATGAGTGGTCTGGGGTCCCGAGGACTGATAGACAGGGGTGGGGAGCCAGGAGTGGGGAAGAACAGAAGGCAGACAGAAGCTGAAGCCCGGAGGACAGTGGACCAGGAAACCATGGGCTTAAGGGAGTGGCTGGCCAAGGAGACCGGGAGCTGTGCACACCTTGTGGGTCATTTATACAGTCTGCGCGAGAGGGTGGAGCAAGCATTCGTCTCCCCATTTTACTGATGGGAAGACCGAGGAATCAAGAGGTTTGCCCTAGCAACTGCGCCAGGACGAGAACCCAGGTCTCCTGGCTGTATGGTCCACTGTCCCCAAACGGGGTCTCTCTTCTTTCCTCTGTTACTCTCCCACTTCCGCTTATTCTCCATTTTATTTTTTATTAAAACACTTTTTTTAAGTCTTTTTCCTGTCTCCTTATTCTCTCTTAGGCCCGCAGAGCCCCACCCAGTTCCCTACTGATGGGTCCCAACTGAGTCCCACCAGTGGGGCCTGACGATTCAGAAAGGTGCTTTTTCCACAACGGATTTGACTTCCGGCCGCTGGAACGCTCCCAACGGAGGCCGGGGCGAGGAGACCCCACAAGCCGGCAGAGAGATGATAGTTATTCAATTAATGTATTTCGCCAGCGGGCCGCCGAGGTCCCGCCTCCCGTCGCTAGGCAACAGAGGCGGGGTCCGGAAAGGCAGCCCAGTCCAGGGCGCCGGCGGAACCCGGGGGCCGGGACGCCGGGGCGGGGCGGGGCCTCCGGGGGCGGGGCCTTACCAGCTGGAAGCCGATCTTCCAGTCCTTCCAGTTCACTTGGGGGTTGTTGTCCCGCACAATGGAGGCGGTGCTGCGGGCTGCGCGGGCCCGGGAGGGCGGGGCCGGGACCGCCAGGCGCTGCAGGGGGTGCGGCCAGGTCTCCCAGAGGTCGCGGCGACCGCGGGGGTGGGCCCCCAGAGTGTTGGAGGAGTTGTACTTGTACAGATCGTAGAGCGTCTGCTCTGTGATGCGGTCCAGCTCCTCCAGCTCCTCTTTAATTTGCGTGTACCTAGAAGGGGCGATGGGAGGAGGGGCGGACTGGGGGACGGCCTCGCGCGAGTGCCTGGCCCCTGAGGGCCTCAGTTTCCTCGCCCGAAACCGGTGAGGTCGGTTCATCAAGGAGAAGCCTGCGGGGAATAGCTCTGGTGGCTCCAGGGCTCTCTCGGAGGACGGGGGACGTGGGGGTGTAGACAAGGTGTTCCGCGGGGGCAGTGGAGGCGACCGTGAGCCCCTGCGGTGACGGCATTTATTACGGTCTGTTTATCAGAAGGGAGAGGCGGGAGGCGCCTGGCTGTGGGGCGCTCTCCTCCCACTCGCCCTGGCCGCGTTGGGAACCCGGAACTCGTCTGCCCTTTGCCGAAGCGGGAGGGGGTGTGGCCTCGTTCTGCGCCCACACGGTCGCTCGGACCGCGCTGTATGGGTCGGGGCCTTTGGGCCCGTCTGCCACCCGGCACCTTCCAAAATAGGGGTGCTTAACTGCACTTCTAGAATCTCCCCAGGAACTTTAAAACTACAGATGCCGCACACGGCCCCTCCCATCAAAGACTCAGTTTTAATGAGTGATGGGTGGGGCCCAACACCAGAAGTTAAACACTGTCCAGTATAAATCATCACATTCCTTCTCAGTACAGGCCCTATTACCATCTCCATCATGAAAGTCCATAGTAGCAGTGCCTTAGGGCTAGAATCTACCAAAACAAAATACACACAACCTAGAACTAATAAATTCAACAAGGTTGTAGGATACAAAACCAATGTACAAAAATTAATTGTATTTCTACATATTAGCAACAAAAAGATGGAAAAATGAAATCACAAAACAAAACCATATTAAATAACATAAACAACATCAAATACCAGGAATAAATTTAATGAAAGATAGGCAAGAGCTCTATCCTGAAAATCATGCTAAGAGAACTCAAAGGCCAAAACAAATGGAGAGTTACATGAGTTCATGGGTCAGAAACTCTGTATAGTTAAGGTGTCTCCCAAATTGGTCTTGAGGTTCAGCACAATCCGTACCAACATTTCAGCAGACATTCTGAAGAAACGGACAGGCTGATTCTAAGGCGCATGTGGAAATGGAAAGAATGTAGAGTGGCCAAAACAATTTTGTTTTTAAGTTTATTTATTTATTTTTAAGTAATCTCTACACCCAACATGGGACTCAAACTCAGAACCCTGAACTCAAAGAGTCACACACTCTTCTGAGCCAGCCAGGCACCCCTCAGACAATTTTGGAAAAGAGCAAAGTTGGAGTACTTTATCTGACTTCAAACTTATAGAGAAGCCACAGTTAGCAAAACAATGTAGTGCTTATGTAAGGACAGACAAAACTCACATGTATACAGTCAACCGAGTTTTGACCAAAACACCCATTCAATTCAATGGAGGAAATAATTTTTTCAAACAGATGGTGCTGGAACAGCTGTATGCTGTATTGAGAAGAAAAAAAAAGGAAACTCAAACTCTACCTCAGTTTATACACAAAAATTAAGTCAGGTTGGATCACAGACCTAAACATAAAATTCAGAACCAGAAATATTCTAGAAGGAAACACCGGAGATACCTTCATGACCTTGAGGTAGGCAAACGTTTTTTGGAAAAAAAACATCTAAGGAAGCAACTGATGAATCACTAAACTCTACCTCTGAAACTAATAATACATGACATGTTAATTAATTGAATTTAAATAAAATAAAATAAAAAATACCTTAGGAAGAATTTATCCTGCAATATAAAGACCTCTTACAAATCAGCAGTAAAAAGGCAAATTGTTTTTAAATGAACCCAAAACAAAACAAAAATAATAAAGTAAAAATTCACCAAAACATATACACAAATAGTCACTAAACACATGAAAAGTGTTCAACATAATTAGTCCTCAGGGAAATCCAAATTAAAGCCATAATGATTGATTCAGTATGGTATACACCTGAAACTGATAGAATATTGTACGTCAACTACAACAAAAAATACAAATTTTAAGAAAGGCAAACTTCTAAAAAAAAAAAAGGAGGAGGAGGTACCATTTAACATCCATTAGGAAGGCTAAACCTAGTGCCTGGGTGGCTCAGTCAGTTAAGCATCTGACTCTTGATTTCAGCTCAGGTCTTGCTCTCAGGTCCTGAGTTAAAGCCCTGCATTGGGCTCCACACTCAGCGTGGAGCCTACTTAAAAAAATTTTTTTAAAAAAGCCTAAACCTAAGGTATAATTGGGCGCCTAAAAGACTGACAATGTCAAATGCTGGTGGGAACGGAGAGCAGCTGGAGTTGCAGCTGGTGGGAGTCTAAAATGGCACAGTCGAGGGCCTTTTGGTAGCCCTCGACTACCAAAGTTAAACACACATCTACCTGATGACTCAGCATTTTCACTTCCGGATATTTTACCCGATTCCACTCCTAGCTATTTATTCAAGCACAATGAAAACATAAAGACTTGTATGTGAATGTTCATAGCAGTTTTATTCATAATAGCCAAAAAGCTTGAAAACAACCCAAATGTCCATCAATACCACTCAGCAATAAAAGGAGGCTGATACAGGCAAAAAGAATGGGAGAATTTCAGAAACACTAAGGTCAGTAAAATCAGTAAGTTGAGCCAGACACACGCAAAAAAACCCAAATTCACATGTGTCAAACTAATTGATGGTGACAGAAGTCAGAGAATGACCATGGGAGAGGGAGAGGAATGGACTTCAGATGGCCACCAGGTAATGGAAATGTTCAGGATCTTGATTGTCAAACCTCAGTGAGGACTTAAGATTTGTGCATGTTATTGTATATCAATTATACCTCAATTATTTTTTAAGATTTTATTTATTTGAGAGAGAGAGTAGGTGAGAGAGAGAGAGAGAAAGAGCAGGAGGAGGGGCAGAGGGAGAGGGAGAAGCAGACTCCCTGCTGAGCAGGGAGCCCACCGTGGGACTCAATCCGAGGACTCTGGGATCAGGACCTGAGCCCAAGGCAGACGCTGACCCGACTGAGCCACCCACGCGCCCAATTATACCTCAATTAAAGAAAAAGTCAATGGGGCGCCTGGGTGGCTGAGTCATTAAGCGGCTGCCTTCAGCTCAGGTCATGATCCCAGGGTCCTGGGATTGAACCCCGCATCGGGCTCTCTGTTCAGCGGGGAGCCTGCTTCTCCCTCTCCCTCTGCCTGCTGCTTCCCCTGCTTGTGCTCTCTCACTCTCTGTCAAATAAATAAATAAAATATTTAAATAAAGAAAGAAAGAAAGAATAAAAAAATAAAGAAAAGTCAAGGGGTGGTGAAATTGAGCCCTGCATCGGGCTCCTCGCTAGGCATGGAGCCTGCTTAAGATTCTCTCTCTTCCTCTTCCTCTGCCCCTCCCCTCACTCACACTTTCTCTTTCTGTCTGTAAGAGGAAGGAAGGAAGGAAGGAAGGGAGGGAGGGAAGGGGAAAGGAAGGGAAGGGAAGGGAAGGGAAAAAGTCAAAAACCTGTGTGTCAGGGGCACTGCCAGAGATCCGGGTTTCGTGGGAAAGGGTGGGGCCCAAACAAGGTTGTTTTACAAGAACCCCAGGGGCCCTAACCAGTCTCTAGGCCATATCCTCACTACCTCCTCCCCTTGGCTCGGTTTCTCTCTCCTTCATAAAGTCTAGCTGGCTGGGCCCCAGGCATCAACTCCAGCTGCCCCTCATCTCCTCAGAAAATGTAGCTCAGGTCAGAGGTGTGTGTTTGACACTCCCAGAGATTTGCTTGTGATTGGTAATTATAAACGATGGCAGAAATGGCTAGTCTTTATTGAGCACTTACTCTGAGCCAGGCACTGTGGTATTAGAATAGACATTATTTAATGTACTCTTCAGTGTAATTCAGCAAACTATTGGCCATGTCAGCTAATACTATTGTCATTCCTTTTTACAGGTGAAAAACCTGAGGGAGGTGGCTTGTTCAAGGTCACCCAGCCAGGAACCGGGTCAGAAAGCGCTCTATCCACCACACTGTCCTCCTCTCTGTCCCTGCCGGCTCTGGCTAGTTGAGGAGGTTGGCAAGCTGCCCCAGAAGGAGCACCGGAGCCAGAATTGACCAGATGTGGGTCCTGGTGTTCCGGCCACACACTTCAGCAGGGTAATGTTGGTAAGTAATTCAACCTTTCAGAATCCAGCCTCAGTTTCCCCACCTGTAAAATGGGCATAGCACTAGATCTGCATACGACGTGAAGCTCTCAGGGGGTTAAGAAAACATTCAGTGACACAAAATAAAGAAGCCACTGAATATCAGGAAGACATGGACAGGAGCCTGAAGCCTGGGAAATGCAACCATCTTTCTCCTGGTCACATAGGAAGAATCCAGGTCCCCCAACCTTGGCTGGAGTTATTTTCACATAGGCCACCACATCTCTGGCTGAGCATTCCCTTTCCACATCCCCGTAAGCTGTCTCAAGTTCCTCTGTGCTTCTCTTCTGCCTTGTACACCCCCCTCACCCTCATCATCGACTCAGAGTGGTCTATCACCTTCTCTAGCCACATTGCTCCTCCCCACGGAGCCCCAGGCTGTCCCTATGCCAGTTCTCCCCTCAGCCCACCGCCCCAGTCAGCTCCTTCCTGCCCCTTCCAGACAGGTCTCTGATGAGATCCCACCCTCCACCCCCAGAAGAGGCCAGGCTCCATACAAAACACTCCCTCTTCAAGGTTTTCTCTCCTTTTTGGCGGGGGAGAGATGCATTCCCATATCACCCCTTCAGAAAACAAATCTCTCCCTCCCCTTTGGCTGACACCTAGAACCAAGAGAAGTGACACTGAGTAAAACCCACTAATGACATCGGATCTTATCCTGCAAGCAGGAGGGTGCTGGCAAGAGGAGAGCAGAGCAGGGGAGGGAGTAAAGAATGCAAACATGGGGCTTTAGCAAGACAGTCCAGCCTTCGAACCTTGACCTCCTACCCAGTCACCGCCCCCACATCTGCTCTGCCAGACAGCCCTACACTGGAGGGTGGGCACACCCTCACAGAATTCAGTCAGGCAGGCATTACTATCTCCCTTTGAC